AAACTGATTTTAACCAGTTCTATAGTAAGGTAACATTCCAATAGACAATATGCAAAGCTTTTTTTTCAGTTTACAGCAGTATTTATTACACAAAATTTAAGTAAAGCTTAACATGCCGATCTTGCCCCGGTCTCCCCTAAGTAGTGAGTAATTGAAGTAAGATAGCGTGCGAAATAACGTAACCGTACTGTACATCGTATAATAATAGATCTCTAACTAAATTTATTGTGGTGTGACAGAGATGTTTTTCTTTTATTTATTTATTTGTTTTTATAATATTTAAAATTGAATTTCTTTCACATCAGTTTATTATTGTCGTCAGACGGAACCATGAGACGTAAAACACGTGCCATTCAAAAACATACTTACGAAAATCGACTTAATAACTAAAGTAATACTGTAAATATAATTTATGTATTGATGAAAGTATATAAATCTACTGTATACATTGTAGGCCTATACAAAGATGATTGGTTGTAAATTATAATTTTGTTTATAAAATGTATGTAAGATTTGTATTTTAGATGCTTTTAAATAAATTTCTAACTATAATTTTAAACAATTATTACAATATCAAATTATATATAGTTTCAACTGTGTAAAATTAGCTGTTACTTCTACATATATGCATAAATAGAAATACGTTGTAACAAGCTTATACAAGGATTTTTCCAAGTAATTCTAACTTAAATTTATTATCAATACTTTCAAGCTAATATATTTGATTAAAATGTATATTTATACTGTACAATAGTGTATTAAAGATATAAACATGCAACATGGCTTCTTTCAATGGCATAAATGTAGTATCATTACTGAGGCAGGTAGTACAGTATAGTACAGTCCCGTACTGTACAGTACATAGCGCTTGCTTGCAATCGAAAGTGTTACTCTGTGAAAAGTCTATAGTAAGTCTATAAGTATGTATTTTCCACATCTAACAACTGTGTTTTTTTCATTTCTGAACGGTAGTTCTAATAAGTGTCCTCCAATAACCGAGTTAATCTCTGGTAGTTCGTGTGTCATGGGTTTGGGCATGGCCAATGGTTACTAACTTCACGTTTCCAGCCCGGCCACGTGAAGTTTTTCGGGTTTTATTCACGTTAGTAACACCTACAATCCAGCTTTGCATAAAAGTCTTCCGGGGATGCATATCCCTCTGCAGATCGCTCGGGTGTCACGTTGCCCTAACCAAATAAACTAAACTTATTCTAAACAGCGATTATTTGTTGTCACATCCTAACAATGCCGGGCTGCAACTTTTCGTCACAATGTTCTCACTTCTTCTAGTGGTTGTCATGCCTCTCTACACTATACTTCTTCTTTAACAATAGAGTCGAGCCGATTATCTAACTCCATTTAGAGGGAAAATTTGGAATTGAAGTAACGTGACTTCCGGTTTTCATTGGAGTGCTCCTAAGTTTTTCATATTTGGTTTCGACTTTTATCTATCTAACTTATTTCTCGAGATTAAGGAAAGACAGAAAGACATACAGATGACAACAGTGGAAATTTATAGGTCTACAATTTTTTTTTTACAGAAATGCTTCTAATTTCAGATCTAATTCAAATGTAAAATGTTACTAATGATTATGTTAGATTATACTTTAAATTGAGATGCAATTTGAATCTAATGTTTGTTTTAAAAACAATCAACTATTTACAAAAAACTCAGATAATGATTAAATAACATTTACAGTTTGCATAAACTGAAAATTTTTTTAAAATCAATTAAAATTATATATTCACATGCAACAAAGGTGAGAGATTAAATTGAAAATAATGTTTTTTTTGATCTAGAAATTAGAATTCTAAAATTTAGTTAAATTTATATTAGGTATTCACCACCTAAAATCTAATTAATGCATAAATATTTTAATATACATACTTTGCTTTGTACATAGATGAATGTAATTTAATAATTACTATAGATTTGAGTGTTTTCAGATAAATTTATAGTAATTTAAATTATTACCAAAAAGATTAAGTATTGTATAAGTTAAAAAAGTATTAATTTCATTTTCAAAAATGTTTTTTTTTTGTCTATGTAAATATTTATTATTAAATACAAATAAAAACTCATTTAAATACTAACCAGAACTGAACCAACTGTCAAATTTGCTTGCAATTCTTCAAAAACACTAAAATTGTAAATATTGTGAATGAAACGTGGCTGTTGATCATTTATATCAACAATATGTACAGTCAAACCAGCTACAACAGACTAAAATATATAAAAATAAGAGAAAAATTAATTTACTATTTAAAATATAATAATTGCTAAGGAGTTATGTACTAAAAATAAATGTTTTCATACATTAATACCATCAGAAGCTTGAACAACAAGATCATAACTTTGTCTCTTTTCAAAATCCATAACAACAGCTGTATGTATTCTCCCTCTATAAATATTTATTTGTGATGTAAAAGATATAAGTTTAAGTTTTTATGGATAAAAATAAAAATCTAAATCTTTTAATCTAAACAGATTCTAATGTTAATCCACTGATAAATTTTTAATAGAAAAAACTTACGTTTTAGGATCAATGGTAAACTGATTTTCATCATTTCCACCAACAATATTATAACTTAATACAGTATTAACATCAGTATCTCTTGCTTGAAGCTGATAGACAAATGCACCAGGTGGTAATGATTCACCAATAAAAGCTTCATATGGTGCTCCTATAAATTCTGGTGGATTATTATTCACATCTATAATATCAACATTTACAACAGCTGTTGACGTCCTGTAAAATGTATTAATATTATTCTTAATTAAACACATTTAAGTTATAAATCAAAATTTATTTAAATTATTATAAATTATATACCTCCTTTCAGATTCAATTGATGCTCTGTCAGTAGCTAATACAAAGAAAGTATATCGAGTAGGTTTCTTAGTTATTTTACTGAATGCTTCAGTTATGACAACAGAGCCATTCAATGAAGTAATTCTGAATGGTACACTCTTTCCTACACTGTCTTGCTGAATAGAATATTGCACTAATCCATTATTACCCAAATCAGGATCAATTGCTCTTACCTGAAAAATTTTTGTTGTGAATATATTATTTTTATATCAGATTTTACATATACAGAAAAATGATATATATAAATATATATTAAATTTTTATTTATAGCATTTATGAAATTTATTCAAGTACAGTAAAATCTTGTTGTGATAACAGATATTATCAGTTGTATAACTATCAGAATTAGCAAGTCTGAAAACATCCAAGTTAAAATATATTCCTAATACTTTACTTATTATAAACAGAGTTCTGGATATAGTTATCATTATCTTCAAGTTAATGAGCATTTTTTTAGCTTGCCATTTCACACCATCAACCATGTCATGTGATGACAACACTTATGACTGATAATGAGCAATCATTATCAGTCTTTAAACAATGTTACAAACATTAAAAATTAATTGTTTTAATCATTGCTTGCTTGCAGTGCAGTAGTTTTAAATTGTTTCAATTTAAAATTTCTTTACTGCCAGCAAGTAATGTTACTTCAATTATATTTTGGATTAATTCATAGTATGGTAATTAATAATAAACAAGTCCTCAAATTGTTTTAATGTGTTCTTCTAATGTCAGAGTCAATAAAACTAGAACTAATTGTACTCTGTAGTCTTATAAGCTTATTTTATTTAAATACAGTTGTCCCTTGATAATCCGACAGGTATGGGACCAAAGGTGTGTCAGATTACCAAAAGTGTCCGGATTACCGAAAATAATTACATATTTCGCATTGTTTTGCTAGCAGTAACTTACAATATTCTCTACTCCAACTGTTTGAACAGAACTGCTCACATAAAACACACAAAATGTGTGTCATCGAGTAAGAATTGGATGGGGAGATTCACATCGCGACATGCTTCTGTGCAAGCAGACACGTAACGGGGACGGGTACCTTGACGGGAGGTGCGTCAGACTACTGAGCATGTCAGATTAAAAAACGTCGGACTATAGAGGGACAACTGTATTATCAATCAGTTATTATATATCATCATTTTAAGAAATCCCAAAGTGATTACACTAAGTGAATCATACTGTATATAATAAACATGTTCTCATGTTAGAATTTAAATAAATATAATTTTAACTTTCGTACACTTACATTGCCAATAATAGTTCCAGGAAGTTCAAGCTCTGTAGCATGAAAATTATATATGCTTTCAGGAACAAACTGTGGATTATTATCATTGGCATCTAATAAATGTATTTCTACTGTTGTTGTGCTTTTCTTAGCTTCTGGATTAACATTTGGTTTTTTCTCAACAGCCAAAACCTAAATTGTTAGGAAATATATTCATAAAATTATAATTAACATAAATATAATACAAAAACTAAAGAAATTAAATTATTAATAGTTTTAAGTTCATTATAATTAAACATTTGTGGACATAATAAAATTTTGCTATTTATTTCTTAATTTTGTTAGCAAAATTAAGAAATAAATAGCTACTTTACAAATATAGTTTAAACAATTTATGAAATCCATTAAAATTAATTTTAAAATATGCAATAGTTTATAAAAGAAATGTACTTATAAATGATTTTTTTTTTTATAATCTAGAAAATGCCTGAAACATTAAAAAATCTATTCTTGTTACATCTTATCATCAATTTATATATATTTTTTATTTTATATAAATTACATCTTATAATATTCATTAAATAAATAAATATACATTTTCAACTATCATTTTTTTCTGCAATTTTCTCTTTCTCATCAATTTTATAAATTTTCATGAGTCTTTTGCCATTCAGATCTTTGAATGCTAATTTTTATACTTCAAATAAATTAATTTATAAATTCTGTTTTCAATTTAATGATTCTCAGATTATCATATCATATGTAATTTTAACAGGACTGTCAAGAGCTTATAGGAAGAATCAGGATAGAGCAGGCCTCTTTTGTCATTTATTTTATGTAACAACAAAGGAAATAAATAAATTGTTTCTTTATTAATAAAAAGCAGTCTTAAAGATTTTATTTTTTTCTTTGCAAAAACGTTAATTTATAGGGGGAATTAACCATGAGGGGCTCTAAGCTTTCTCTGGATCCAAGGAAAAATGCCCAGCTCCCCTCTTGACGACTCTGAATTTTGATAATATAAAAGATGGTTGCCAAATTTTTAGTGTTGTTTGTCACAAAATTTACTTTAGTTTAACAATAATCATACGATATACTGTATTTAACTAACAATTTATTAATAGATATTTCATTCATATGTAGCGTGTCTCCCTGTACTTTTTATTTTAATTCCAATTAAAATGTACAATACTTATTCTAATTTTTTAATATATATAGCTATAATTACAAGATGTCAGGTTTCTTTATCAAAATAAAAATGAGAATTATGTTTAAATAGTTAAATTTATAGAACAATTTGAATTGAAATCATTTTACTGTTGAAAGAAAAAAGACATTGCCAATTTGCATACCAGTTAACCTTGGCTTACCATTTAAACTGGCAAGATGGGTGGATAAAACTGACATGTTAGAACTGACTAAAACTTTATACAGTTTATACATACTTATGCTGCATACATCTATTGTTATCGAGAATAACAATGGATTTGATTACATACAGTATCTACCAATAGGACCAATAACAGCAAAAACATTAGGCAGAGTATCTCAAAGTTATGCAGTTGTTTAATTAAATGACTATAACTGGTCAAAGTAACTTATATTATACAAATATTTTTGCTGTATTTCATCTGATGTTCTGCTTGTAGAAAATTTCACCACAAATAATGGATATTGGCTACTAGAATGCACTACAAGAGGAAAATAATTTCAACTGTTAAAATCCAGCAACGAGTTGCTTAACTTTCCCAGCAACATTTGGTGGTGCCATCTGTTACGGTATTTTGTTAAAAAGAACTTTTTATATTTATAATTATTATAAAATGACAAAAAGCTTCATTTTGAGAGTAGTAATGGGTTTGAAAAAAATTGTAATTGCTTATAAGAAGTAAAATCGCCATTAAGTCAGACCCTCCTTGTGTAGGGTCTGACTTAAAGACCCATTATCTCCCACCTCTTCCACCTTTATCCACCAAAATTTAATAGCATCAATCCCCTAATAAATAAACATCCCTGCAAAATTTCAAAAATTTTCGACAAAAAAGCACAGGAGTTATTAAGCTTCAAAGAGGAACAAAATCATATTCCCCACATACTAAAATTCACACATACAGAAAAATTATTTTACTACAAATTTTGTAGTAAAACAATTGCATAAAAAATAAAATTATTAAAAACAGCAATTATTAAACAGGTAAACAAGCACATTTAGAAAAAAGAAACACAGCAATGGTCTCATAACTTTTCAGCAAAAACATTTAAAATTGCGTGTAATGCCATCTGTATGATATTTTATTAGAAAAAGTTTTTATATTATGAATTATTTATTACAAAATGACAAAAGGCTTAATTTTGAAAATAGAGATGAGTTTTATACAAAACAAAAAAAAACAAAAAAAAATACAAATGGTAATAACGAGTAAAATCATTAAGTTCTACCTCACTCAAGATGTGACACTTGACATCTTCTATTTTCCCAACCCTTAACCTTTAACCATTTAAAATGTTAATATCATCAATCCTCTAAATACAGAAACCTCCCTGTAAAATTTCAGAAATTTTTGACAAAAGGCACAGGAATTATTAAACTTCAAAGTAGATGAGCAAAATCTCACCCCCCCCACACATCCATACATACAGAAGAAATCCCAAATACTTTTGCGTTTCAATGCCGCCTGAGTACAAAAATGTAAAATTCTTGGAAAAGGGGTCATTTTTTTACTGATCGCCATACTTTTCCTCTGTTATATATAGCAGCTGGGAAAAAAAAAATTAAGACCCAAACCCATCACAAAGAAAACAAGATTGTAGCAAATGACTGGTATTTTTCCCCTTTGTAAAAAAAAATGTAACAATAGTTTAAGTTTACATGAGAAAGCGAACGCATATATTTCAATATTAATATACACTGCCTACGGGAACAGCTTATTAAGCCAGGGGGCTATTGTATTTTCATGGGACAGCCACCTCACAGCTCCCCATAGCTACACACCAGCATACCATAATTTTGATACTGGTATTAATATAAATTCTAAAAAACATATGAATTCTAAATTCTTAAAAAGCCGAGTTGCAATTTTTAATCATTTTTAATTTATTTAATTTAAAATATATGCTCTCCATCTCAAATTACTAGTGGCTTGCCCCTGTACATCATACTTTTCCTTTAACAATCTGTGACGTTTCTTTTTTCAAAGTGTATTATATTGTGTTATATATTTGATTGCAATTGATAGTAAATTCTTGAATAAATGGCCACATGTAATGAAATATCTAAGCCACAATATGGAGATTTGTTTTAGCTCTCATACAACTGTAATTATAGTGAAAAATATGTTAAGTGGATCTAATATAGGGGCTTTCCCATATTACTAATGAATGATTTATCTATCTATCTCTACATTCACTATGAGAACATTAATTTTTTTAAGCTATTTAATTGTTTTGGCAGAGACAACAAGGGAAAAAGCTATTTATCACCTTACAAATCAGGTTATCAGATATACTTTTTCTTTTTGTTAGCTCTATTTTCGAAAAATAACCTTTATGTATAATAAATATGAAACTTTTATGTTAAAACTTCAAGATATTCAATCTCCAGGCAAAAATAACCAAACAGCAAATTATTTCCTTGTATAAAAATATTTTTCGCATATTATTTATTAGGTCTATGCTGTCACATGTTTACAATTTTGATAATGATAACTGAATACAATTGGACTAAATTATATAAATTTAAACTATTCAGCAGCCTACTTAAGAAAATAATCATTTTTAAAATCTTTCTGCACTGTACAAATTTTCCAATTGTGGTTTTACATGTAAGCATAGGATATGTTCAAAGAGATATATTAACATTACAGGAAATGGTTCAGCTTTCTTGCATACTAAAAAATAAATCATTTATTATTCTTATGATCTCATTATCATAAACTACACAATAGCAACAACCATTCTTTCATGTCATTAGTAATGAGATAGAAAGATATATTGGGAGGGGCTTGAATGCTACCCTATTAATTTTTTAGGAATATACTAAGGTATTAAATATTAATGAAGTAAATTGATAGTATTATATTCTTTATAATTACAAAATCAACAAGTGCTAAATATAAAGTATTTCACTACGTAGAGTGTTATAATTTATTGGCGGAGACATGATTGCACAGTCATTTTTTTTAATGATTCTCTCCTGAATATTTAAACATTATAAAATATTTATTTATCATTGACAGCATGAAGTATAAGTAAATACTTTACATTAATGATAAATCATAAATTATTTCTGACAAAATATAGATAATATGCAAATATAAGCACTAAATATTCGGTCATTATAAGTTGATCAACTGTAGACTACATAAGAATGATTATATATCATAAAACTATTATATTTTAATTGATGGAGCATACTTTGATAAGGATCCTGCAATTACTTATATTTTTTAATAACTTTTTTTTGTAGTTTTCTACACATTTTCCATGATTTAGTATCTATAAAAATTTATATATAATTTTTCATAATTTAAACATTACACTAAATTTGTTTCATTTAAAAGGATCTCTGGAATGATTACTATCATATTCAATTAATATAAAAATTTCTATTCTGTTCTCAAATTAAAATTTTTTAGGAATCATTGAATTATTTGTTTTGAAAATTCAACATATCTAATTGTTTCCCATTAAAGAAAGGAGGGAAAATGTATGCCAAATCAATTAATAATGCTCCTTTGGATGATACATGGAACTACAGCAAAGCTTATAATTAAAATGATAGCTGTATAGCATTACATTGTTTTATACAGACTTTTCATCTTCCCCACAGCTCTGAAGAATATATAGCAAAATGTGTAACATTCAAAAATTTTGATGTCTAAGTAGACAACTATCTAAAAACTTCTTTTTTTGCAGTTTTATAAAAACTATGTCCAGTCTCATTTACAATCATAGTATAAAGAATAAAATTAGGCTATGTGTTATAGAATATTAACCATCCAGCATTCAATCAAAGATATTAAGTCATTTCTCAATGGCAATCAACTTATATATCTAGACAAATGACTATTAATATTAGCAGTACAAAAAGATCATTGAAATGTTTTTCTATGTACAGTGAACACATTTTATAAATTTCTGAGTTTTCTTTAATATTTTTATTAAAAAATATTGAAAAACACTATTTCACTTTTTAATATTGTAACCTCATTTTTTACTGTTTATTGTCTGAATGTAGTAGTTTCAAACATGTTAAATTCTGCAGTAGAGCCTATATGTTAATTCATTATAAATGTTGTTTTGCTAGTCTGTAGTTATCAAAACATTGATTCCATTTTTTAAATGATTACAATGATGCATAAAAAAAAGGAAATTATTTATTAAATAACAAACTTTTTTAAGATAATTCCAAAATGCATAGTAAATTTAAATAAATAAGTTATCTTTACTTATAAAGTAATTTTAGGAAATGTATTAGATAGCTACAAAATTTTTAATCACAGTAAAAAGAACCCCAACTCATTTAACAAATTCTTGTTCATCTAGCATTGATCTTTTAAAAAATTCTGGTTATTTTAATAGTAGCATATAATTATTTGAAGCCATTCAAATAAATTTTTATACATTGAATTTTTCCAATGTATAAAAATTTAAAACACTGTAGCCTATATCAGCATTGCAGGACTATATAATATTGAACATATTATATTTATTATAATTAAATAAAGCAAATACAAAGTTATACAAGGTAGCTTCAAAAAGTTCCCGAAATTATGCTAGGTTAGTCAATTAAAAGCAATGAAAAAGGGAACATGTAATGCGTGTCTTAGTTAAACCTGTCAGGAATAGAGAAATATGTTCAAACAAATCCGTACTCACTGCAAAGATGACACAGTTACCATTCATTGAAGGTTGTGTTAGTGAGACATTGTGAAACAGTCTGGAAAAAATGTCTGTGGAAGAACAACATGCAAATATCAAATTTTGTGTGTTATTGGAGAAAAAAACCTTCTGGCGTCTTGAAGATGCTTCAGGACTATGTTGAGTCTTCCATGAAGTATTCTCAAGTTTATGACTGGCAAAAATGCTTTTGTGAGGAATGAGAGTTTATCGCTTTTGATTTGCGAAGTGGTCATCTGTCAACATCAATGTCTGAGGATAAAGTGTCGGTTGTAGGCAAGATTGTGAGATCAGACAGACAGCTGTCAATTGAGCATATCACCAAGACAGCAGGCATTTTGGTTGGAAGTTGTCATTCCATCCTGCATGATCAATTAAACATGCACCACGTTGCCAACACACAGTGCCATAAATGCTCACAGCAGACCTCATTCAATTTCTACCTCTTTCCTGATACTCTTTCTCTGGCTCCCCTACCTTCTTGAAAGATGCCATCAAGGGACACTACTTCAAGAATATGGATGAGGTTATACAAAGTGTAACATCTGTGTTGCAGGCACTGTCACAAGATGGCTTCCAAGAATGTTTTCAGCAGCTATACCAGCATTAGTAAAAGTGTGTGGTTACTGAAGGACAATATTTTGAAGGACACATTGCTTAATTTATCAATTGTACACATACTTTTGAGTAATAAACCAATTCTTGGAATATTTTGAAGCTACCTTGTATAAATTATATCACTTTTAAAATTTACAATGAATAATAGTAGTTCAATTTTAATTCCAGTGTAGTTTGTGCAATGATAGGAAAGAATTTATAAAACAATTGGACTATCATTGAACAAACTGCACTAGAATCTAAATTGAACTATTATCATCCTTTGTGAATTTTAAAAGTGATTATACTTTCATTCAGTGCTGTAACTAGCTATTTGTGTGCCCTGTGCAGGATTTTATTTTTGCTCCCCTTTTATAGAAATGGTCAATTAATCTTTAACTTTAAATGAAAATGTTACATAATCAGCCCCATGGCAAAAAATTCAAAATTTGAAAATAAAAATATAATACTGATCATTTCTTAATACCCTATTTCAAAAACCCCCCTTCATCCTTGGCCTATGCACTGTTGCATCTGCCTAGTTACAGCACTGCTTTCATTTTTAAACAGGACAATAATGAAATTCTTTTCAATTATACGAGCACTAAGGTGGCTTTTCTCTTTTGCTATAAAAATATATATAATAATAAANGGATGTAATTTATTATTTAAATTAAATTTATTAATGGTAATCAAAATTATAATAATTATAAACTTACTTTTATTTGAAAAACTTTATAAGGAGGGTCTTCCTCTTCAGGTACATTTACAATATATGTATCTGATTCAAAATGTGGTGGATTATCATTAATATCTTCAACCTGAATCATTACAGTAGTAGTACCACTCAACTGAGGAGTTCCTCCATCAAATGCAACTAGTAAAAATTCTAACGACGACTCTTTTTCACGATCCAAACTTCTTCTGGTTAAAATATTTCCCACATGATCAATGAAGAATGCATTGTTTCCCTGTTCACCTAATATTTTATACTGCACCAATGCATTTTTTCCAGAATCAGCATCAATTGCCTAAATTTTAAAATTAAATAATTTAATGTAATATAAATATAATTATATAAAAGAAATGTGTAAATAGATTAAGTTTCAAATATATAGATTTACAATTTAAAAAATAAATTACAATCTCATTTTTTTTTATTTTTTGTACATTGGACAGAAAAATAGTATCAAAAACAAATAAAAAATTTGGTTTAACAGACAAACACAGATGAAAACGTTTGCTTTCTTGTAGCTTCTTTTTGCTGGATATTGGTTAAATGTGCTGTGTTCATTACGGAAAAATGATAAATCTGGTTAAATTTATTTGATCAACACGTGTTTAACTAAATTAGATGTTAAAAAAGAATTTTCTTGACAGGATTTAGAAGTAAATATAAATATTTTAACAATTAATATATGTTTTTTAATCTATTATTTATTATGTATAAGGACTACATTATTTTCTTATAAAAATGAAAAGTATGGCATGACTGAAATTCAAATAAGAAACAATGAAATTATACAAGAGCAGAACATATATGTCAAGAAATGTTTCTGAAGATATTTATTTATATTTTTAAAGTATTGTTGAAATGTATGGAAATGTTAGAATGTATTTAAATGAAGAAAGATTATGTGTTTATCATAAAATGCAGAAAAATTTTAAATCTAAGAATGTTAATTCAAGATTAAAATGTGTTATAATTTTAAATATAAATAAACTAAAAGTTAAAATTAATTTTCATATTATCATAACACAAAATATATAAAATAAACCATGTAATAAATTGTTCTAAAAAATGCGTCAAAGGCTAATATTTCTCACAATATTATTACTATCCCTGCAATTTATGTTTTATCTGTAACCTGAAGTCTAAGAAAAACATTAAAATTTTATAAAAATTTTTAACTGTGAAAAGCAATTGTTGATGTTTACCTATTAAATTAAAATTAAAGATACATTAAAAAACATACATCACTAGACTTTTTTTGGGATTTTTAAAACTGACGAGCGATTATTTATTGTAACATGGTCGCAATGCCAGGCAGCAAATTTTAATCATATTTTAAATTTATTTCATTTAAAATATATGTTCTCCATTTCAAATTAGTACTATAGTGTCTTGCCCCTAAATATCATACTTTTCCTTTAACAATAGAGCTGTACTGATCATCTATTAACTGCTTTCAGGGAAAATTTTTGAATTGAAATAATGACTTCCAGTTTGCATTGGAAGTTCATATATAGTTAATCAGGGCCTCCTGCTCCTAAGATTTCCATGTCTGGTCTCAGATTTCATCTATCTGATTCTGTTCTCGAGATTAAGGAAAGACAGAAAGACATACAGATGACAACAGTGGAAATTTATAGGTCTACAATTTTTTTTTTACAGAAATGCTTCTAATTTCAGATCTAATTCAAATGTAAAATGTTACTAATGATTATGTTAGATTATACTTTAAATTGAGATGCAATTTGAATCTAATGTTTGTTTTAAAAACAATCAACTATTTACAAAAAACTCAGATAATGATTAAATAACATTTACAGTTTGCATAAACTGAAAATTTTTTTAAAATCAATTAAAATTATATATTCACATGCAACAAAGGTGAGAGATTAAATTGAAAATAATGTTTTTTTTGATCTAGAAATTAGAATTCTAAAATTTAGTTAAATTTATATTAGGTATTCACCACCTAAAATCTAATTAATGCATAAATATTTTAATATACATACTTTGCTTTGTACATAGATGAATGTAATTTAATAATTACTATAGATTTGAGTGTTTTCAGATAAATTTATAGTAATTTAAATTATTACCAAAAAGATTAAGTATTGTATAAGTTAAAAAAGTATTAATTTCATTTTCAAAAATGTTTTTTTTTGTCTATGTAAATATTTATTATTAAATACAAATAAAAACTCATTTAAATACTAACCAGAACTGAACCAACTGTCAAATTTGCTTGCAATTCTTCAAAAACACTAAAATTGTAAATATTGTGAATGAAACGTGGCTGTTGATCATTTATATCAACAATATGTACAGTCAAACCAGCTACAACAGACTAAAATATATAAAAATAAGAGAAAAATTAATTTACTATTTAAAATATAATAATTGCTAAGGAGTTATGTACTAAAAATAAATGTTTTCATACATTAATACCATCAGAAGCTTGAACAACAAGATCATAACTTTGTCTCTTTTCAAAATCCATAACAACAGCTGTATGTATTCTCCCTCTATAAATATTTATTTGTGATGTAAAAGATATAAGTTTAAGTTTTTATGGATAAAAATAAAAATCTAAATCTTTTAATCTAAACAGATTCTAATGTTAATCCACTGATAAATTTTTAATAGAAAAAACTTACGTTTTAGGATCAATGGTAAACTGATTTTCATCATTTCCACCAACAATATTATAACTTAATACAGTATTAACATCAGTATCTCTTGCTTGAAGCTGATAGACAAATGCACCAGGTGGTAATGATTCACCAATAAAAGCTTCATATGGTGCTCCTATAAATTCTGGTGGATTATTATTCACATCTATAATATCAACATTTACAACAGCTGTTGACGTCCTGTAAAATGTATTAATATTATTCTTAATTAAACACATTTAAGTTATAAATCAAAATTTATTTAAATTATTATAAATTATATACCTCCTTTCAGATTCAATTGATGCTCTATCAGTAGCTAATACAAAGAAAGTATATCGAGTAGGTTTCTTAGTTATTTTACTGAATGCTTCAGTTATGACAACAGAGCCATTCAATGAAGTAATTCTGAATGGTACACTCTTTCCTACACTGTCTTGCTGAATAGAATATTGCACTAATCCATTATTACCCAAATCAGGATCAATTGCTCTTACCTGAAAAATTTTTGTTGTGAATATATTATTTTTATATCAGATTTTACATATACAGAAAAATGATATATATAAATATATATTAAATTTTTATTTATAGCATTTATGAAATTTATTCAAGTACAGTAAAATCTTGTTGTGATAACAGATATTATCAGTTGTATAACTATCAGAATTAGCAAGTCTGAAAACATCCAAGTTAAAATATATTCCTAATACTTTACTTATTATAAACAGAGTTCTGGATATAGTTATCATTATCTTCAAGTTAATGAGCATTTTTTTAGCTTGCCATTTCACACCATCAACCATGTCATGTGATGACAACACTTATGACTGATAATGAGCAATCATTATCAGTCTTTAAACAATGTTACAAACATTAAAAATTAATTGTTTTAATCATTGCTTGCTTGCAGTGCAGTAGTTTTAAATTGTTTCAATTTAAAATTTCTTTACTGCCAGCAAGTAATGTTACTTCAATTATATTTTGGATTAATTCATAGTATGGTAATTAATAATAAACAAGTCCTCAAATTGTTTTAATGTGTTCTTCTAATGTCAGAGTCAATAAAACTAGAACTAATTGTACTCTGTAGTCTTATAAGCTTATTTTATTTAAATACAGTTGTCCCTTGATAATCCGACAGGTATGGGACCAAAGGTGTGTCAGATTACCAAAAGTGTCCGGATTACCAAAAATAATTACATATTTCGCATTGTTTTGCTAGCAGTAACTTACAATATTCTCTACTCCAACTGTTTGAACAGAACTGCTCACATAAAACACACAAAATGTGTGTCATCGAGTAAGAATTGGATGGGGAGATTCACATCGCGACATGCTTCTGTGCAAGCAGACACGTAACGGGGACGGGTACCTTGACGGGAGGTGCGTCGGACTACTGAGCATGTCGGATTAAAAAACGTCGGNAAACTGCACTAGAATCTAAATTGAACTATTATCATCCTTTGTGAATTTTAAAAGTGATTATACTTTCATTCAGTGCTGTAACTAGCTATTTGTGTGCCCTGTGCAGGATTTTATTTTTGCTCCCCTTTTATAGAAATGGTCAATTAATCTTTAACTTTAAATGAAAATGTTACATAATCAGCCCCATGGCAAAAAATTCAAAATTTGAAAATAAAAATATAATACTGATCATTTCTTAATACCCTATTTCAAAAACCCCCCTTCATCCTTGGCCTATGCACTGTTGCATCTGCCTAGTTACAGCACTGCTTTCATTTTTAAACAGGACAATAATGAAATTCTTTTCAATTATACGAGCACTAAGGTGGCTTTTCTCTTTTGCTATAAAAATATATATAATAATAAATATAATAACAATAATAATAAATGGTATAATAAGTCTAGCAAAAAAAGAAAAGCCACCTTAGCGCTCATATAATTGAACACAAGAGTAGACAAGAAGTGTATCACATAAATAAAATTCTTTACTTTCATTTCTATCAATTATAAAGATTAAATTTTATACCAGTTTATAAATAATATTTTCATTTCAGTTTTACTTTTTAATTTTATTATTTAGCATTTATGCATAAGAATTGGCATTTATCATTTATAAATGAAGCTTCTTTAGTAGACATCAAAAATTCATTATTAAAGTAGAAAACTTATCATATCTCAACCACCATAAATATAAACTTTACTGTAAAAAATATTGTATAATACTGTCAACTAACAATTTTGTTTTATTTTGTATATTTAAGAATTTTAATTTGTTTTAAATTAATTATTTTGTTTTTTATATTTGTATTTATGGGGGTAGTCACATTTGCCTTGTTGCACAGCTTGAAATATTTGTAAAAATAAATAAATAAATAATTTTATTTCATTTTATACAGTTTTGTTTCAACTAGGATAGCAATAAATATTTTTGTAATCATATAAATTAATTCTGATATATTTTATAAATAAAATATTACTTTTAATCTGATAAGATCCTGTGTTTCTCTATCCAATTTAGAAGAATCTTTCACTGTAATTCCACCAGTTTGAGGATCAATATTAAACGCATCTGATTCTTCTTCTAACTTGTAAAAGAATTGACCATTTTCTCCCTGAAAATATTTACATATTACTGTTTATAATCTCATTTAAACATCTCTTAAATTAAATAAATATGTTTACACTCAATAAATAAATTATTATAAATAGGCATTTTATATATATATATATATATAACAAATGCTTTTTTTCACTTATTAAATATTTTAAATAATAAAATAAATTATTTTAAAAGCTTTCAAAATTAATTTAAGCATAACAAACAATAGACTCTATTTACAATAATGTTTTTTATGTTAAATTAATTAAACATTTTTTTTTTTAATTGCATATGAAAGTTTTTGTATTTAATGCTTTTTCATCTTACTGTTCTAAATTTTCAGTCTCTAGAGAAAATTAAATTGAAATTCTCCATGTGTGATCTCATTATAATTAAACAAAACAAACATTATTATTTTCTTGTTATGTATACTACATGTAATAGAAAGTTAAAAATTTTGATATGGGTCAATGATTAAAATAATTGCTACTGAAGTATTTATTAGATACTGGTAGCACAAGTCAAATGTTAGTTTAATTGGTATGGACTGTCACAAAATGATAGAAAAATTTGAAGTACAGTCGATCCCCCCTATAATACTGTTGATTATTCCGTTTTATATGAATTCCATGTTGTATGAGTCACTTAGATTTTACAAATACGTGAGCCATTCACAGCCTGGCACGCATATTTGTAAAATCTAAGTGACTTGTACAACATGGAATTCATATAAAAACGGAATAATCAACAGTGTTATAGGGGGTCGACTGTAGTTACATAACAAATTTAAATAAAAACAATACATACAGAATCTTCATCCAAAGCATAAACTTGAACAACAGTAAATCCTATTGGTAAATTTTCCATTACAGTGATGTTATACGTATCAAATTCAAATACAGGAGAATTATCATTTACATCTAATACTTCCACATCTACTTTTGCTACTGCTTGACGAAGAACATTATCAATTTGTGTTGCCTGCAAATAATTGTTCAAAAATCAATAAAAATTCATATAAGCTAGTAACTATAAACTATAGGATATAAAACTTTAATAATAATAATAATAATATTTAAAAATATTAATAACTTAATTAAATTTTATATATTTAAAATAAGGAAAATCATTGTATTTACTATTTTTAAATTTAATATACTGTATTGTACTTTTGAAATTTTTATTGTTCTAGTTTCAATTTAATTTAAATTATATTTCTTCTATGTTTTTCCTTTCAGACTGATTTAAGTATATTAACTCATTTATTACTGTATAAATTTTTTATTGTAGAAATATTAAAAGTCCTTTTTCCCTAATTAAATTCAAGTTTTCTATCAATAATTTCCTAGTGTTTTACTTCCTTACTCCGTATTCTTTTAATTCATCTTTAGAGAAATAAAAATAACTTTTTCAAAAAGAATTTGAATATAAAGTTTTACTTGAATTTATTTTTAAATTTTAATTTACAAATAGAATCAAGTTCTTCCTTCATTCACCTTAAAATTGTTTGTTACAATTTTATTTTACTATAATAAATTTTAATTGTTAATTTACTGATATAATCATCACTTTTCATAATAAATTATACATTTAAGACCTGTAAGAATAATTTCACTTTGACTTTCCTTAATCCTTTCTAAATTGTTATTCTATTTAGTAATCCATATTCTAGAAAAATAGATTACCCTACATTTCATAATGACAGATGAAAATTTTTATATGTTTAAACTTTAATAATTTTTCTTTCAATGTCTTTACTTTCTCTAAATGATTATCACGATTGTTTATTCTTTTGTAAACAACATTCCAATGGTCATCTTCAATGCTTCTGAACTCGTTAATTTTAGTGGAGCGTCATTTGGACAAAGTACAGTCTCTCTGACAGTCCGGTAGTCCATCCCACGTGACCTATTTCGTGCATTTGTAACGTCACATAGGTATTTGGGTCATGCAGGTAAGATGATGAAAGGCCAGGTGCAAGGTACTCATTCAAAATTACAAAAGTAAATTTCATTATAAACTTTCTCCACAATGTACCCAACCTGAAGACAAATTCTTTATAATTTCAAAATTTGAATTTTATTTCATTTTTTTTAATAAATTCCTTGTTCACAATTAAGAATGAAGAATGGAATCTTAATTATTACAAAAAATAATCAAATAAATTACAAAAACTTGTTTCCAAATTGTCAAGAACATTCAACTCAACATAAAACAAGCATTAATTACTTTTATCAATGAAATAATGATTGAATAAATTATATTTAATTTGGGTTAATGAATTGGGTTACAGTTTTCTTTCTATTGTCAAATTAAAAAAATTTTATTGGAGAATTAGGACCTAATATTAAATAATTATTATCTTAAGTTCATGGTCTGTGAACTGAGGTACAGTGCAGTACTGTATATATTTTTTAAATAATTTCTTTATGTAAATCTGGATTCAACTTCTTCAAATTTTCATATTTTATTTGAATTTTAGTAGAAAAACAAGCAAGAATTTAATGCATCAATCAGTAATTCTTAAATTTTAGATATATTATCTACCTGTATACGTAATCCCAATATTTTATTAGACAATGTTTCCAAATCAACTTCTTTGACCAAATATAGTTCTCCTGTCTGTTCGTGCATCTCGAAAAACTTGCGATCATTTCCTGTAAGAAAATTTTTCCGTTATTATGTATTAACATAAGTTAAAATCATGAAAAACTGGTTTCAATATGCAATGAAAGAATTATCATGTTCAGCAATACATTTCATTCTATTCAAGACCTGTTAGAAGAATAATAAATTTAAGTATCAAAAGGAAACTTCCTGTATTATAGAAAGAATATATTGATATTCGGTATATTATATGTATCAATATTTATATGAAAATACATTATCAGTTCAAATATCCGGTTTTGTGAATGATGGAAGATTTAAGATAAGATTAAAATCATTTTCATATTAAAAAAAAAAACTGAATAAAAGAAAAGCATTATGTAGAACAGATTAAAATTCAAAAATCCTGAATGAACTTGAAAATATTTTATTTTTTTTCTTGTTAAGAGCAGTTCTAGCTTGATTTTTTAAAAGATAAAAAACTAGTAGAATTCAAGTAATATAACTTATTCATTAAATAATTTTATTTTGATTATTTTAAATCTAAATAAAGGAAACATAACAGTAATATTAACATTTAATTTACTTTAATAAATTAAAAAAATAAATTCAAAAAGACAATATTGAGCATTTTACAATAAGTTAAAAAATTGTTTAAAGTAATTCAATAACATTTTCAAATTAAAAAAAAATATATAATAATAATAATATTTAAAAATTTTATATTTATATTATCTGNGTAATATTATACTACAATAAAGTTTTTTATATAATATATTTATAATAATATATTTTCAAAACTTTGCATTAATAATATATTAATTTTACAAATGTATTGAATTTAAGTTATTTTACAGTTAATAACTTTAAAGAATTTTGATCTTAATCTCAAATTATTAACACAAATTACACATATATACAGTATGTGAATATATAGGTACAGTATATTATTAATAATCTATAACCTATAATAATAATAATAATACATAACTTTAAAAATAATAATCTATAATACAAATATTTTAAAGATAATTTATGACAATTATCTTAAAGTATTTTCATTACTTTTTTTTTTAAATAAAAAAAAAATAAAAAAAAGATTATTTTTAAAGGAACTTAAACAGAATGGACTGTCTATGAAGTAAAAAAAAAAACAAGCACTTAATTGTAGGAAAATTAAAAAAAATTTCAAGAGCTTAAATCATATATAAATTTACTTAGAGGATAACTTTAAACAATTAAAACACAGTTCTATATTTAGTTGAGAGGATAATATTTCTATAACAGAGATCTAGATTGGATATACTTCAAACAGCTTATCCAAACAAACAAGACTTTGGAGTTAATTCATCAAATGTGGGGAGGAAGGACTGCTTTTTTTCCTTTTTTTTTTTTCTTTTTTAAAGATTGGTATGTTCCCTCTCAATATTCCCAACTTCTTTTACAGATTTCTTTTTTTTTTTTTTTAAATTTACACTCTTCTAAAACTCAAAAAAAAAAACTTCTATAGTACTTATTCTATATAAACACAATACTGCAGCGCTGTATTTTATTATTACATGGTGCTGTAACTAAGATTTTTTCCAATATTTCTTAGAAAATAAACACAGAAAAGCACCTGCTGTCTATAAATTTCTTAAGATATATTTCTTTCTACTTCACGACATTTATCTATAGGAGGGAAGAACTTTTCACGATTTTATGGCGTGTCTGTCAAGAAACTTTCGCTTCTTTTTTTTTTTTTTCTTTTTCGTTTCTCTTTATACTTCAATGTAGATTTTTTTTTTTTAATTTTTTGAATAAAAATAGGAATTTAAAAATATTAATTTTACATTCGAATTAATTTAAAAACTTAAAATTAAAGTCTAAAGTTAGAAATAAAACTTGTATTACAAGTTACAATTACTACACAAAGTAAAAAGATAATCCTATTTTTATATCGTTAAATTACTGATTGATATAATTAGAATATTAAAATGATTTTATGGGAATGTGTTTTATTGCACGGTTCAGTACAAATCTTTGGATGATAAAGAGAAAATTTTGTATTAGATTAAGAAAGAAAAATAAAAAATCACTTGCTTTCCAATACTTTTCAGGAAGTAATTTAAGTAATTTAAGACATTTTTTTTCCTCCCTCCTTCTTTTTATTTGCTCCGTTTGTTTTATAAAATTTTAAAAATTACTCGATTGTAAAACAACTTGTCACTATTTTCTTGTCTAATACAAATAATACAAGCTGTAATTATAATCAACATAGCGTTAAATGCTTCCTGTCTTGTGAAATGGCAAAGAAACAAAAAAAAAACAAGTTAAATTGCTAATAAATTATATACGATATACAGTCGACCCCTCTATAACACTGTTGATAATTCCGTTTTATATGAATTCCACGTTGTACGAGTCACTTAGATTTTACAAATACATAAACCGTTCACCGCCCGGCACACGTATTTGTATAATCTAAGCGACTCGTACAACATGGAATTCATATAAAACGGATTTATCAACAGTGTTATAGGTGGGTCGACTGTATATTTAATGCTACATAGACTATAATATAATGTAACTAATATCAATATATTGAGAGTAAAAACAAACAAAAAATTTTATTTTACCGTGTATAATGTCGTAGCGTAGAGCAGCATTGATACCAAGATCTTGATCATAAGCATGGATGGGTGGTTCCAAGACTAATTTAGATCTAATTCGCGCACCCTAAAGTATAATATTTTAATAATTAATATAGATTATTATTATTTTCGAATGTATATAACGAGTAATAACTTACAGTAACTTTAGAAGATTCTAAAACACTAGTTTTATATACATCCTGAGTGAATTTGGGATTCTGATCATCAGAATCTTTGACGCGTATCGTCAACGTGGTTAGTGTAGATAAACTATGAGGAGATCCGTGATCCTGTATAAAAAAAAATTAATAATAAATCCCTGCTGAGACATCTCTTAATTAATATTTCATCGTAAATATCAAAAACTCACCGAAGCTTGAATTTTTATTTGAAATTCTCTGACTCCATGATCAAAATCTAATGGCTTGTTAACGACTAAAATTCCTTCGATAGGATCAGATAGCGCGAAAGAATTATTTTCATTTCCACCCTATAATGAAATTTTTATATATCTTTATGTAAAAATTCAATTTAATATGTAAAATAAAGAATAAAACTTACTACAATCGAATAGGTGACGTCGGAATTGGCGGTATTTGGTTTATCTCTGTCTACTGCGTGAATTCCTCGGAATACAGTTAATCCCACGGGAGTTAACTGTAAATTTATATAAACTATGAAACTAAATCATACTTAACAGATTGTAAAAATTATATTGTTTATATTACCTCATCTACTTCCAGATGATACGGAGTATTTTGAAATTCTGGAGCGTGATCGTTGATATCCTCGATGTATATGGTTACAGGTAAAAATGCTTCCTCCTATGAATTAAAACAGAAAAGATAGATTAATTTTAAATAAATTGCGAACCAATAAACCTCGTAAATATTATTTACCGTTCCACTAGAACCTTTGCAAGTCAGTTTAAACTTTAACACGCTTTGCGGATCGTGCTGAAACGTTAAGAAGAATTATTAGTTGTCTCCCGGAGAGTTTAGGTGAAAATAATGATGTTTTACTTTTACCTTATCTACCAGATCTTCTAAAGATTTGGCCACTTTAACCGAAATTGTTTTATCGTCTACATTTTCTGCTTTAAAATACTGTATATCGCTCAGACTGTTATCCATAGCATCCATTCGAAACTCAACTCTAGGAAATACTTGAACCCTAAACACTTCATGATCTGTAAATGTATAGTTAATTTATGCAATTGTAGTTTTCGTAGTATTGTTTTAAGAAGAATTTCAGTTATATTATTCTATTTAGAACAAGGAGCTTCTTTTTGTTAAATGTTTTTTTTTTTTATAATTCTATTGTGCTAGTTTCGTGCAAAAATTCTCATACATATTTATGTGAAGAATCCTTCAACTTACCTACAGGAATGTTCTCTGCAACTTTTTCGAATCTTCTAGTTTCTCCCAGAGGATAAAACTGACAAGCTACAAAAGAAAAAATTTAAATGAGAAATAAATAAAAATTCTATAAACTGGATTTAATCACATATTGCTTTATTTTATTGCTTGTTTCTGTCTATTGTTTTCTCGTGTCTTTTCCCTTACCTAATTTTCTTCATTCTCTCTTATTTTTCAACGTTTATTTCCTTACTTTAAATCTCATTTCTAATTTTATTCTGTCAGCAGCCCTCCATTTCTTTCCTTAACCTGTTTATTTATCAATTTTTAAACTAATAATACAGTCTTTAAGATATCAAATTTTGGCCCTAACAGATAACGATAAAACATTTATAAAACGTAAATAACCTTGAATTCTTTTATAAAATTGTTTCTCTTTTATTTTTTTTTTTTTTTTTTGTATGTCTTTTCTCTATAATTTCTTAACCTTGAATTATTTTATGTTAATTCTTTATACAGCCATTATCTATAATCTTAACGAATGTCTCGAAAAGCCTTAAAAACTTTTAAAGTATTTTGTATATTAAGAATATACATAAAAAAAAAAGTCTCTAAAGAAACTCCCATATCTCGAGTTTCGCTTTCAAATAAATCATACTTTTATAAAGTTATCATCATGTCCAACCATCGATTCGTTCCATTTTTTTTTTTTGGACAACCCATCAACGTGACCCACTTTCCAAAGGGTGGTCCAAAACACAATTAAGTTAGATAATAAAAATCAATTCGATCGAATAGTTTATAGATTTCCCGACCGGAAAACAGTCCTGATATACAAATGCAGCCAACTATGGTTGAAAGCATTTCTTACATTTAACTTGTCTACCCCATTGACTAAAAAATAAAAAACGCTTTCCAACGTAAAACTTTTCAATTCAAATCACACATAAAATCTTTTTAAAATCTACATTGTAGAGAAGATCTACATTGTAGAATTGTAGAGAAGATCTACATTTTAGAAACCATTTTATTTACTTCTAACGTAAATATTTTCTAGACGTTAAAAATAACTTTCTTTCCTAAACTAAAGATTAACTCAAATTCCAGGACATCAATCTGTGGTGTTCGGTTCCCTCAACCCCTCAGCAGGTTGCCCGGGTTCTCTTCTATAATCGCAAACATCTGGTCTATTCTATTCTACGACACGTATCTCATCTAACAGTTAAAAAAAAAAAAATTGCTTCTGCAATTAATAACATAAAAATCTATCCTTCCTTTCTTATAATTAATTTCTAAAATGTAGATTAAAATAATTTAAAAAAAAAATTGATTTAGGAAATAGTGCGCTACTACAATAATTAAGAAGAAGAGGATGAACTGAAGAAAAAAAACTGCTATCGGCGTTAAGAACGGTCGTAAACATTAGACACAACACTAGCTCATTCGCCTACAGGTGAACTAGATTGGACTATCGACCGACCCATCATGCACATAACTATATCCAGGTTTAAAGCACTGACCCATAGCAAAGTTTCTGAAAACAGAGTGGACGTCCTAGATGAATATATACCATTAATTCTTAGCTTTTGTAACCATCTTTCAAGCGTGAATTCCGAATTATATATTAAAATAAATTTATATATTTTATTAAAGAAAAAATAAATAAATAAATAAATAAATAATGCTAATTATAATAAAACTAACGAGTTTTTTTTTTTGTTAACAATAAAACACGTTTAAGATATCGAAGGCATTATTATTTCATGGTAGGTTATACTCGATGGCAGACAAAATACCATTGTTTAAGAGAAAAACACCCAAATAGTGAAAACGTGTTATAGATTTTTCTTGAATGAAAGCTCTACATTTATATATCCACCCTAATTATGTAGATTATTGAGAGAGGGAGGAAGAGAAAGGCTATTCAACTTTTGGGCGGAATCGTGGATATTTTCGTCCCTTTAATAACACGTAAACTATTCCAATTGGTTTTAGAAAAAATGATCGGGATTAAGTTTTATGTTTTCTTCATCATCCACACTTCAATCTTCGATAACGGATATTAATTAATTAATTATACTACAAGGAAGAGACCCAAATAAGCCTCGCCCTTGTAAAACTATAGACCTGATTGTTGACCTTTCGCGTTACAATTCTGAAACAGAAACAAGATTTTTCGAAAAAGAAAATAAATAAAACATGGTTACTAGATGATCAAATACCATTTCCTGCGTTAACAGTTTATTTTTGAAGAGAGATCTCTCAGTCGCTACTTTTATTACAACGTTCAATACATTCATTAACATGTTACTTCTACGAATTTTCTCCAGTGTCACATGAAACTAACGGATGTTTTATGTGTCTTGTAAGCAGTTAAGGTACGGTTTCATTACGAATCTACAGGGTCATTCTGGATTTTTTTCTAAGCTTTTTTTTTCTCCTCCCTTCTTTGCTCTACCATAAAATTCGTTGATGTTTCATACATATGTATATTAAAAAAGTTGTCGAGAAAATCCTGCTAATGTCAGTCAAGTCTATTTTGGAATTTTAAAAAACTAGGGGGGGAAAACACTAATTCTTTATTCCGGTTTAGCATTGGGTCGAGTCACTAAAAAGTCATTTAGTAAAGTTGCAACGTTTCAAAATAGTTTTGTTTTTTTTACATAAGCGTACTTTTTTCTTTATAAATTCCAAAAGTAAAGGATTTTTAAAGCTTTCTAAATGATGCGGTCCTTAAAAACCCCTGTTTAAAAGTCAGTTTTTAGATGAATATCCACTACAGATCACCATTGATTACTACAGTCGACCCCCCCTCTAACACTGTTGATTATTCCGTTTGATATGAATTCCATGTTGTACGAGTCACTTAGATTTTACAAATACCTTAGCCCCACACGTACATGTAAAATCTAAATGACTCGTACAACATGGAATTCATATAAAACGGAATAATCAACAGTGTTATAGGGGGGTCGACTGTATTATTATTTTGATTCAATAAATCTTTATCATATACACCAGTAAACGTTTCAGTAATACTTCTTGTCGATGACAGATATGAATTCAATTAAATATATAGTGTTATCTAGTGTTTTAAAACAGAAACAATATACTATTATAGTTCTAATATTAGAAAACATTAATGAATTTTAAACTGTTACTGAATTAGACAAGCCTATGTTTTAAATAGTTATTTGATACTTAGTTATGTTATATCTTAAAAAGATGGTGCCAAAGTGGACAGAACTTCGTGATGTATTAATGGATCTACAGTCGACCCCCCTATAACACTGTTGATTTTTCCGTTTTATATGAATTCCATGTTGTACGAGTCACTTAGATTTTACAAAGTACATGTACAAATACGTTTCTTATTACTTCAGAGAGTGGGTATATTGCTCAATGGGCACCTCTCTCTAATTTACTTTCCCGAATTCATAATCCTCTTAAAATGTATAAAATTTATAATAGAACTTAATTAAAATCTAGAATTGTCAGTGATAACGTATAAAAATTCTATTCGATAACACACACACAGTCCTATAACTAATGAAGTATCATCTTGCTACTGACTACTTGTTTTTTTTAGTTAAGTAAATAGAGTCCAGAGTCGGCCTGCACGATAAATAATCCAGTCTAAACTTAGAATAAACACACAGTAACTAATGGCCGAGTGTTTTATTTTCAGCTATCTAAAATAGCCCTACGGAATTAGGATATTCTATACAAAATTTAACCCCGTAGTTGTTCTATAGATCATACGTTTAAATCTCCGGTGTAATAAGAAATTACTTTGCTAAAACATGTGGCTATTTTTAAAACTGTAAATGTCGCTTCCGGATAAAATTCACATTATCCGGAAGAAAGCATTCCTAGTTTAAGCTCATTTTGTGAGATAATACCTTCAAACAATGATTCAGAAGATTATACTTCCGCGTAGGAAGTTGCGATTTGTGTCAGAAGCTAAAATATGGTATCCGCGTTCTGCATTGTTTATTACTTTCAGACACGCTACACTCAGATAAATTCATTCGCATTGATTTTTGCCTTTATTAGATTAATCACGATAATAAATCATGCATGGAATTTTTCTTGTGAACATTTAAAATCTCATTAAATCACACGTTAAAAGACCAGTTCCTGCTAATAGTCCGGTTCTGCAGTCGACCATAAATTGTTCCCTGGTCTTAAGACAAAAGTTCGAATGAGGAGAAAAAAAAAACAAATGAAGGAATGAAAATAAAAACCTTTAATAGTTCTCGAGAGATAATGTAAAATAACACTTCCGTATATTCCTCATTCTAATGTTGTTGTTTAGTTACGAGTGAGATTGATATGTAATCTTTTACATCTCATTCAGTTTTCATTTTATATTAATGCACTTTTTAATAATTTTATCAATGCGCAGTTAAGTGTGCTAAATAAAATGAGATATCCTTTACTGATGAGTAAATATTCTTATTAAAAAGTTAATGTCGAAGTTAATGTAACGGATGCGCGACCGTGGATACTACCAGGAGCGTATAGAAGTCAACTGTGAAATGTTCTAAAATATAAATATACGATACGTTTTTGGTTATTAATTAAGAGTTTTTCGGTAACTGTGTAACGTTACGCTCCAGTTATAAACACCCAGGAATTGGTATTTTGTGATGAATTCTTAACAAGATCCAATTATTTCTTACAAATTAGAATATCTGCATGTTTTAAGATTAAAATATTTCAAAAATTCCTTGCTTTTAATTAATTTGTCATTCTAAAATGATACCGTATAAATGTTTAATCGATTAATGTATTTATAATTTACAAAATTACAAAGAAATTTTTATCGAAACGTAAGTCATTGGCCTGAATCGTGCATACAATAGGAACTTACTATAATTATCTACCCGTTGTTATATATTGTCTTATTAATAAAATTTACATTCTGGGTGCCTAAAATCTTGTTTATGATAAACAATCAAGGTTATGCAACTATATTTTATAATTGTACAACCAATAATTGACCTAGATACTCTTGACAACATTGACCAACTTTTTCGCCATTTTTTATCACGCTAAAATTACGATATACCAAAAATAACTCT